CTTTTTCTTTGATAAACTTATCCTCAAAGAATTCTGCATCCCGAGCTTCAATGATGGAGTTGGTTCCAAGGTCTAGGAACTTGCAAGCATCACTATCTTCAGTAAAGCCAAGAAACACAATCTGTTTGCCTTTGGTCCGAGCTTAAGCCTTATGATATCTGGAACTCGAACATATGCGAGACACCCCACACTTTAAGATTATCCAAAGGATCTGGATATCCCAACCATAACTAGTGAGGAATATTATCACTTTTGGAATAGAGTAATCTGTTTAGAATCCAGTTTTTCATCAGCAGAGCCTCTCCCCAATAGCAGGTAGGTAGGCCAGATGTGATTAGCATCTAATTCACCATCTCGGTCAATGTGCGATTCTTTCTTTCTGCAATCCCATTAGATTACGAAGAATATAGAGCCGTAATTTCAGCAATGATTTCATGCTCCTTGAAGTATGCTTCTGACTCCTTAGATCGGTACTCTCCTCCTTTGTCGGTCCTGAGTCTTTTCATCTGAAGTCTAAGTTGCTTCTCCACATGAGTCCAAAACTCGATAAACTTACTGAAGGCTTCATCTTTAGATTTCAACAGGTAGATGTGGTAGAAGCGAGAATGATCATCAATGAAGGTGATGAAGTACTTCATGCCGCCTCGAGTGACAAAGCTCTTGAAATTACAAGTATGTGAGTGAATCAGATCCAATAGGTTGGTACTCCTTGTGACAATTGGAAAGGGCTTCCTTGTCAGCTTTGCTTGCGTGCAAACTTCACACTTCTTAAGTTTGTTACCCCCATATTTTGAAAGTAATCCTAATTTCTCTATGCTAGACATCTTTCTATAATTTACATATCCCAGCCTATTGTGCCATAATACAGAGGAGTAAGCAGAAGAGAATACTTCATTTACAACTGAGTTGGGTATAATAGTACTGATCTTATACATTCCATCAATACGATATGCATTGCCAAAATATATTTTCTTAAAAGATAACACTATCTTTCCTCCTTGGAAATCCAGTCTCATACCTGCGTCACACAACATACTTCTAGAGACTTAAGTTTTTGGCAATTGAGGGAACATGTTTCATATCTTTCAATGTGAGAGTCTTCCCTAAAGAAAGAGTTAGCACCACAGTCCTAGTTCCAAGAATGGGAACCACAGAACGATCAATCATTGATCCTTTTGGCAGCAACATAAAAAGAGAACAAATCTCTGTTGGAGCAGACATGACAGGTAGCACCTGTATCTAACCACCAACCAGAGATGTTGCTAGGAGTTATCACCTGGAAGAGCATATCCACACAATTATCAACTTGATTAACATTATGTTTTGTTCTATTCTTCGGTGCTTTGCAGTCCTTAGCAAAATGCTCTTGCTTCCCATAGTTGAAGCATTTGCCACTCTTCTTAAAATCTTTTTTCTGAACATTCGTGTTCTTCGGATTCTGATTCTTCCTTTTGTTAAAAAAAACTTTTTTTCTTAGAGGAAGAACTGATACCCTTCTCAGAGTTAGCAGCTACCATATTAGCAGACGCCTTCTGCTTAGCAAGGAGCTCATCATTTGTGCGAGTCTGAATCTCGTCCTCGATCCGAATGAACCTCTTCAAATCAGACAGAGTCATTTGTCTTTTCCTTCTTCGAATGTCCATGGAGAATGAAATCCAAGATGGAGGAAGCTTGTTGACAATTGTACCAGAAATGAAGGTTTGATAAAGATTGATCTTTTCATCATTCAACTTAATAACAAGCTTTTCAAGCTCTTTGACTTGAGGCAAAACCTTAGTATCATCTTCGAATTTGAAGTCTAGAAACTTGTCAATGAGATGAGAATTGGAAAGCTTCTCCCCATCCTTGTATTGGTCCTCCAGAGCATTCCGGATTTTCTTTGCAGAGGGCTTGTTGGTGTAAGCATCTGCCAGATGATCGGTCAGGCAGTTAAGGAGATAACTCCTGCAGAAATGATCATATTTAGCCCAAGAGGCTTTAGACTTAGAATCTTCTTCAAAATCGGGTTTCTCCTCAGAAACCACAAAGTAGATCTTCAGGAGTTGCATCCCGAAGATTACTTTCCGATGCCATGCGTTGAAGTTGGATCCGTCAAATTTCTCTAACTTAAGACAATCCACTCCAAGAGTCCTCGCGGGATCCATGATATATTAGAAATTATTACTTTAAGATTGTTGGAGATTATGGTTAAATCTGGAATAAAAATAGTAAAAGTTGATGTCCTGTAATTTTAAACTTTTTCAAATTAACTGTTGTGCGTTTGTGAAACTCTGTGCTTAAAGCAATATTTGGCCTACTCCGATGCAAGGATCCTAAGGCCAAACTGCTTACAGGAATAGCAGTACAGTAGTTTGGTATACACCAACCCAGTACTGTTAAGATCTCCTTGATCTATAAGACCTTTCGGTCAAGGCAAAGATCTCCTTAATCTCAAAACCTTTTGGTTTAAAAGATTTCGGCTCAAAACCTTTCGGTTCAGGGCAAGTTCCTTTGGACACAGTTTCTGCAGCAGCAGCACAACAGCAGCAACAACGTCAAGATCACCTTGATCCGATGTTTGTTTTTCAAGTATTCTCCAAGAGCTGCCAAGGTGCACTATTTATAGGTCTCTAAGGCCAGCTCAAGAGTCACCCTCAATTAATATGACTGTTACAAATCATAATGGTAATTATGATTGTAATAACAATCCATTAAATTAATGTAAATGCTGTCGTAACTGCTACATGCATTAATTCCTGAGTACGAGGCAATCAATGGACGTGTTACTACGAAACGCGAGAGTCACGTCTTAGCAAATCAGACGAACCTCGTCTGTTGGACGAACCTCGTCGAACGGGCGAACCTCATCAAACGGGCGAACCTCGTCGAACGAGCGAACCTCATCGAACAGGTGAACCTCGTCGAACAGGCGAACCTCGTCGAACGAGTGAACCTCGTCGAACAAGTGAACCTCATCGAACGAGCGAACCTCGTCGAATGAGCGAACATTGTCAAACAGAGGAGCATTGTCTGATCTTGAGAACGCTAGGGTCAAACCCTCGTGCGAATGCGTAGCTCGTCCGTATGCTGCGAGGCAACCTTCGTGGCAGCCAATGTGGCGCCACCTAGCCTCGATGCCTCCGTGCGAAGTACAAAATACGCCTAACAAAGCACCACTTAGCGCCTCAGCCCGATTAGCCCTGATCCCCGGCCCATTGGCCCACGGCCCACGACCACTAGAACTTATGAGAGATTAATTAAAATAAAACACTTCTCGGCTTACCTTTGGCAAGTCTCGAACAGTGGACCTTTTAAAACACCAAAACTTTAACTTTCCACTAGGCTACTAAGCAATTATGAAAGTACTTGTAGTTAATATATATATACTTTGAAAACTCATTTTGGAAAGCAGTTTTGACCAAAAAATCTAACATTTTTCAGTACTTTTATGCGCTATGGCCGCTCTCTCGAGTTGATAACGTCAATGCCACTAAAAATTACCACTTTCAACCATAGCAGTGTGGGCATAGGCCACTACCAATATTGTAGCAGGTATTGCGTTGCTATTTGTTGCTATTTACAACACTGCCTAATCTTATCCTTAAAATTAGAATGAACGCCTTAAAATTGAAGTAGACGGTGAAAACTGGTGTAATTGGACCCTCTCCAATTAGGGTCAATTTGTTTGCGTGGAAATAGATATAAAGTAGCTAAAGTAATGGAATCAAAAGCTACTTCTGCTATTTCTGAGCAAGAAAGTTTGTTTATTTCTGTGGAAAAACTATTCTGGTACTTCCTTAAATACCAATATGGCACCTATGTGGCATCCTTGCTTCTTAAATCTTTTTCTGCTATGTGGCATCCCTGCTTCTTAAAATTTTTTCTGCCCCTCAAGGTTCAAATGCAGCTGAAACAGGAGTTTAAGAATAAATTTAAAAATTTTAATTATGTGGATATTTCCCATTTCTAAATAAAATCTAAAAAGATTGTCTTTCTCTCTTCCTAACAACTATTTCTAATGGCTATCCAATAGGTCACATGACAAAACCATATCGCTGCTTCGTGAGGTGCCTAGGTTTGATTCCCGTGTGCGCCAAAGGAGCGATCAGAAGAAATTTCTAATGGCTATAAAACAAGAAAGAATGAAGAGGAAAAAATATTATTTTATTAGATTTCAAAAATTTATAAAACAAACAGAAAAATGTGTTACTTCTGCTACTCAATTATTTTGGAAGTTACTTATTTGATATGCTTCTTACATCTAATATTTCAGTGCAACCAAACAGGCTCTTACCACTAAATTGGAGAGGATCCTAATTTAACTCTATTTGTTAATATAGAAAGTACGTAATCTTTTTAAGGAAGGCATGTTAGCTAATAAAGAAACATATAAGAATAATAATAGTTGACATATAAACTAGAATAACTATTCATTAGACTTTTTATTGCCCTACGGCTTGTTACACCCCAAACGCTTATGATAATTTCTCTATATATTTTTGTGCAACAGCTGTGTTTCAAGTCACAGAAACATCCTCTTGTAAATTAAAAAAATGCAAGGCAAGGCTGCATACAATGGACTTAAAAACAGGTTCCATCCCTTCTTAGACTCTACGCATATCAGAAGCTTCCTGCACCAGGTTGCCCTTCTTTCAACCGGCGCAGGGTCCTTCGAGTTCTGATTTTATCAGAACGAGAGAACGAGCCGCATACTTTAGACTCTACGCATATCAGAAGCTTCATGCACCAGGTTGCCCTTCTTTCAACCAGCGCAGGGTCCTTCGAGTTCTGATTTTATCAGAACGAGCCGCATACGAGCAGTACATCTAGGCCGCTCAGGGACAAAATAGGGGGGCAGGTTTGAAAGTTACCTGCCTCCTTTACTGGTCAGAACTCTCCGCTCCCATGCGGTGAGTTCTAATAAGACGCATGGTCAAGTCCTTCCTACATTACTGTTTATAGACAATTTTAGCCTATGAAGACTGAGCATCCGTCATTGCACTCAACAAGACTCCCCACCGTACACAAATCCTCACTACGATTAAACGCAATGTACTTGCAAACTACTTACATTCCAGCAAAATTACCAATTTCCTTATATACCCGATAATTTATGTTCTTAGTACAGTATCTCTCTTGCTACAAAACTACATAACCCATCATCAACGCGACGGTCTCACAAAATTCAAAATCAAGGTTGCATGCATATTTCCTCGGTTTCAGACTACATCCTCCAAGGTGCTACTGAGATGCATTTCGTGCATATTATTTGTTTCCCAGGAGAGGTTCTGTGAGAGTTACTTGATTTCGTGGTGTTTTCACATCTCCTTCGGTAGGTTTCTTTAATATTCCGGCAGGTTGTCCTTGTCGATTTTGAGCTCCCTGGCAGAAGAAAAAAGAAAAACTTCAACAACAAAAACAACCTAGATACAGGGTGCAAGCAATTTATCATCAATATACCAGACTATATGACATATCCAAAAAGGACTTAAAAATGTATTCAATTGTTATAAATGGAACTTGTACTGTTTTAAATGATTAATTGCATATACACCTCCTGTACCACGAGGTGCCGTTTGGCAAACGGTTAAGCGAGGGGTTAAGGAGATTCCTTAACCCGCCAAATACAAAAAATCTATAAGGCCTCGTTTGGCAAAGGGTTAAGGGTGAGGGGTTAAAGAGAAGGATTAATGTACTTAGCCCATTCGATAATCTGAGGTACCGTTTGGCAAAGGGTTAAGTGAGGGGTTAAGGAGACTTAACCCCTTCTTAACCCGCCAAACACAAAAAATCTATACAAGGGTTAAAAGTGAGTTTACATTTCATAATTTGCCAAACATAAAAAGTATAGTAGGGTTAAGCTAACCCCTCTAGAGGGATTAAAATGAGTTAACCCCTCAAAATAAGGGGTTTACTAATACTCCTATTTAGAAGGATTACGAGTTAACCCTTCTAATTATAAAGACAATAGTCAAAATTATTGTTATTCCCAAACACTAAAACTGATCACAAATGTTAAAATAAAACTTATTTAACGGGTTAATAATTTGGTCCTTCAGATTATCGAATGGGCTAAGTACAGTAATCCTTCTCTTTAACCCTTTGCCAAATGGGGCCTAAAAGGGTTAAAGTGAGTTAACCCTCCATAATTTACCAAACGTAAAAAATACAGAAGGGTTAAGCTAACCCCTCTAGAGGGATTAAAATGAGTTAACCCCTCAAAATGAGGGGTTTTACTAATATTCCTATTTAGAAGGATTAATAGTTAACCCCTCTAATTATAAAGAAAATAGTCAAAATCCTTGTTATTCTCAAACACTAAAAATGATCACAAGGGCTAAAATAAAACTTATAGAACGGATTAATAATTTAGTCCTTCAGATTATCAAATGGGCTAACTATGTTAATCATTCTATTTAATCTCTCTTCCTTTACCCTTTGCCAAACATGGCCTCTCATGCCTAAATTGCCTTTTACCTTATTCTAACTATAAAAAGACTAAATTGCCCTCTAAATCAAGGGCAAAAAACTAATGACATATAATAAGATACAGAAGGTGCAAGTCCTAATAAAAAATTTAGGGGATATGAGCAGGCTACAACACTACTACAGGATAGCGAGGGTACATGTAATTGTCCTCCTTTCGGTTGAATTTTTGTAGTATATTATTATTATCACTGCCTAGGATCCTTTATCAACCGATCTAGGTCACAGGGGTCTTGAGATTGTTACTGATGTGAAGCATTAGATATGCTTTTTTTTCCTCTGACAACTGCCATGCAGTCCGGAAAAATTATTTTGTCCATTAAACCCAAAAAGTAGCCTAGTGGTTGGGGCTTGGGGCACTGGTTCAAAAGGCCAAGGGTCGATTTGGGTCTACGGCATGCCTATTTCTAATTTCTAATTAATAGGCATTGCAACACTTTTGCTATTAACCTAGATCAGGCCTGCGAAGGGGGGCTGCGGACCTTGGGGTTTACTTGTTGGTACTAATGTAAGGTTCCTTGTACCCCAAAAAGAAATAGAAAAAAAAGAAAGAAAGCAAGATAAAATCACTTACCACAGCCTTCTGACCAGTTAACCGTCTAATAGATGGAGCTCGAGCAACCGAAGATGCAGCAGCTGCAGCTGCGACGCGTATCCTGTAGAAAGCTAGTTAGAGCGAGAAACAGATAACAGAATAATAAATAAGTTTTACTCATAAATAGCACAATAAATAAGTTTTAATTCTACAGCACACCTTTTGTGGACATCGACATATTCATCTGTCTCATCCACTATTTCTTCCTGCAAAATATCAAGATACATGTTTAATATACAATTTTTCTGAGAAAGTATCTCCACCATAGAGCAAGAGGCATAATAATACTTTAGACAGAATTAGGTTATGGTTCAAGCATTGCAAAATGTAAATTTTAAATGTTGAGACTGATTGAAGGTAACATTGAAGCATAAAAGTAAAGTTTTTAGGCAATCTTTTAAACTAATTTCTAATTATGAATGGGAATGTTAAACTAGAACTGATAGGCATTGTTAGTGTTGCAGAAAATAATATAACAGGGATAGTAGTGACAACAAATAATAGATTTTTTATACAGGATTACATGAAACATAAAAATCACCATCTTAGATCATTATTCAGTCCAATAGATAACTATAAACGCAGTGGCCTTTTAATTGATTCGACTTGATATTATTCACATTTATTTCACATACACAAAGAATCTGCAATGAAAATTCCGTTTCATATTTCCCCCCTTTATGCAGGTATGGGTTCTCACGGTAGAATAATGAGTAGAAGGCATTCCTTTGTCTCTATAAATTGTAGATAGATCAAAGTTAAGAGTGGTGCTGACAATAAGAACAAAAATCAGTAATCATAAGAAAGGTGTTTACTTGCAGGAGTTCTTCAAATACATCCTCGAGTGTGATGATACCAATGACTTCACCATCTTCAATATCCTCTGGTACACGACCAATTATATGGGACGCATCATTCTGTTGCAAAGATGCTGGCTTATTTCCATTAACCTGATTTTGCTGTTTTTCAATGTCAATAACAACACTGTCCTTTTCTTGTTCTACTTTAGAAAGTAGAGGTTTTGTCAAGTCTCCACTACAGTTTTTACTCTCTTTCGGTTTCTTCTCATCCACAGGTGGGGGATTCCTTCCTTTATTTTTAGCTTTTACCACAGCAGCCATATGACTGCTGCCTTTTTGAAATTCATTCAGTATATCATATAGAGGCATATCTGCTGGAACCCTGTTAGAATTCAAGATATGAACACATAGATCCTAAATAAGCAATGAACTTAAGTGTGACATTGAGAAACCTTGGAATTCTTCTGATTGAAACAGCACTAACAGGTGTCTCTGTCTCAGCGCGAACTGTGAGGAGACTTTTCACCTGGCTCCAATCAACAATGTAAGAAACATGGTACAGTATAAAAACACTTTTCAATCTTACTCCAATAGGAATACAAGCGTGTTATATATTCTATACATACCAGGAGAAGGCCAATAATATTTTTTGGATTTCCCGAATAAACAGGAACTCGGCTGTGTCCCCGAGCAAGAATTTTGCCAATTGCTTCCCTGAAAGTAAAAAAGAAAAAAAGTAGTTGTATCTTTTCCTCTAATTATAAACAATGTCACTACTTAAAATCCCAGGTGCTAGGACAGTGATTTGTTATCATATACAGACAAAAACTGCTCTAAGAGCAGTGGAAATGCCATCCATTGTGTAAAACAAGTTTTTCTCAGCATCAACTTGTGAAATTATCAGCCAATTGGAGGACCAATTACTTAGCAACTAAAAGGACTCTGAGATGTAACATAAAAATAAAAGAAGAAACTTGAAAGCATTGATATCACTTTCAAGTTTGGAACTCACCAATCCAGTTTTGAATTGACATCTAGAGAGAAAGTTGACTCAATGGGCGTCATGGCCTCCTCAGCAGTCTGTGGAACATAAAAAGGGATATATGATTAGGAAAAAATGGTTAAGGAATACTATAAAGACAAGCAGTAGCTTTTTTGTTTTTCCTCTTCTTTTATTTATTTATTTGGCTGGAGAAGAATCAAGTGCATTCTGGCTTCCAATGAGCACCCCGACAATTCAATAGAGACCAAACTACTATCAAAGAATTTTAATTTATACATGACACCCATCAAATGAAAAACTAGACATATATAACCAAGACATCCTAAAATAGCTGATGCTGATCGAAATCGAACACTAATGAACCGGTCCCTAGCTATCACTTTCAACAGAAGTCCCAAATACTTTTCCTTGTCCTTATAAAACAAATAGTATAAATATATCAAACACTCCTCATATAGAGACATAATGTGAACTGTATAGAATACTCCTATCCGAAAACTTGGAGCTGCACAATTGATTGCCATCTCAAAGTCTGTTCAGGAGAAATTTTTTGCAACCTATATAAAGAACAAATTCTTGGCTTTGTGTTTGCGTGCTTCTGGTATTCAAAAATCAGGACTGAAGGAAACCAACTATTAACAACCTATTTATAAGTTCATTCTGATGCATACCTTTTCAGTCAAATCTAATGCACCACTTATGATTGTTGTCTCATCATGGGTGAGTTCTCCACCCTTGCCAGCCTAATATGTCAAAACCAATGAAATTGCATGGTCAAAATAATAATAGAATAACCAAAAAATTATTTCACAACAATTTTAACACAATTAATAACAACTTGCAATATAGATATGACATCATTCAATTGTGAAATTAAGTACAACTTTATACCTCTTGGCTATGGATAGACACCAAAGCTTTCAGCTGAGCACGCCTAAAAAGTGCAGACTCATTATGTCCAAGTGCATAATCTAGAAGCTGAAGCAAGGAAAAATAGAAGGTTACAAATCATCTCACTTAGTGCCTTTCCACAAAGCAAAAGCAAGCAGAAAGCACCAACCATTTACGCTAGAAGCTTGGATGCCCCAAGAATTTGAGAAGAGTAGTCTAAGTTGTTATCACATTCTCAGGCTATGATTTATTGCAATGGACAACTAATTGGTAAACTTCAAATCATGATAAAATGAGGAAAGTAAACATATGCAATCAACAAAGTAAACCTAAGTTGCTAGAACACCACAGCGCTTGTTTATGTTGATAACAACCATAATAAAGATTATGTGAACCTAGGTTAAAAATGAAAGAAATATACCACGAGAATATGAGAAGGTTGTAAACTACTACAACTTAGAAAAAGAAATCATGAAATGCGAACAAGAATTACAAACAAGCCACATGAAGTTAAAATAGCCCAAATACACACAGGAAAAGAGCAAAAAGCAGCCAATGCAAACATTTAATCTTGACCTTCAGCAGTGTCATATGAATCTAGACTATCTAATCTATATATTATTAAAGATTAAAAATCTCAGTATTGATTGCAGTTCAAGTTCTATTTGTATCGACATTAGTAGTTTGGGAGTTCCACATCAGAATTGTTGCTACATTAAATAATTCAATTTAATTGCAAGCTTTCTAGTTGCTAATTTCTGTTTTTTTATAGATTTCCTCAATAGAACATTGTCAAACAATCTTTTGATCAAACCTTGTATCTCTATTATTCATTAATAGCTAATATTTGCTTGTATTATCTGTTAGCCTATACTAGTAGTATTGGTCGGTTTCAGTTAGATTAGATCTCCAACACGATATTGGTGATACATAACCGCATTGTCAATACTTCAAAAATCATTGTAACATAAAAATAAATTCACACACTATTTGAGGTCACACACTATCAGAGCCTGGAGTCCGTCTCTTTTACATACATATGCCTTAGAAGATTGTGGTTTGACGTCTTTGGTTAATGAGTTAGAAGCGGATAGTGAACCTTGAGCGAGAACAATATTTCATAAGTTCACACCACTTTGTCAAGACTCGTTCATCAAATATCCAGCTCTAGAATGACAACTTTTGATTACCTCATGTGTGTCAACATAAAAAGTAACAAACACTATGAAAGTGAGAGAGGTTAGTATCTTTATACCTTCCCTATGGGATAGGCTACTGGATAGCAAACAACCATTAATATACGGACAAGCCAAACAAAATTTGCACCCACAGCCAGACCATATCTTGTACATATGGCCTGTGGAATAACCTGCACAAGTAAACCCATGGTTAATTAAAAAACTCTTATAATTACCCACCTTCATGAGCTCCAAAGTGAATAGAACAACAACAGACATCATACCTCCCCAAAAGCTAGAACGAATGTTACAGATAAGATAACAGCAAGAATCGGATGAAATATCTTGTCAAGGAATATAGGAAGAGCCTGCATTAGCAATAGAATTAGTCAATATGCAGTTAGCTATTCAAATTCCAGAAGAAAACCTGGTGAAGGTGAACAGTATGGGATTACCAATCGAAACTTTTATTTCCACAGGTTAACAAACAATTTTAGACTGTGTTCAAAAATTGAATAACTAAACACACCAATCCATTAGTTGGCGGAACAACCACAATCTTTATCCAATCAAAGTCAGGCGAAATATCAGTGCTTAAATTCCATGGGATAAGCCAGCACCCATCAGATTTCTTTCTTTTGCTTTTCTTCTGGATGAGATCATCCTACATTCTCATATAAGTCCACCCACAAGGAGGTTCAAGATTATAGCACTTATACGAGTTCATCTTTCTATCGATAATCTAATCTAACCAAATAATGAAATTACCTAAGTGATCTTTAGCCACAGTTGCTAGTAGTACATATACAAATATTAACATCTAGGCAGCTTCCGAAATTGCATCCTATTGCTTACCTGTGGGCCTGGATGAATGCAGACAGAGAGATCTAAGAGAAGGTGTGATAATGGAAAAAGCAAAAAACATATATGCTCTGTATTGCGAGAGAAAATATGAGAAACCCTACTAGAAAATCAAATATAACATTCCTGCATAGTGCACATGTTTCACTGTACATTTGGTAGATATTGCTAAAGACTCATGCAAAAGCCTATCACAGACTTTCAAATGCAGAGGCAGGTCTCTTTCCCAATAACGACAACTGGCTAGCAATACTTTCCTTCTTCATTTAAGTGCTTATTTTTGCAACAAATTGTATTGGACTAATAACTACGGGTAATAGGCAATCTGATGGACATGCTAGTTGGCATTACATGCTGCCTTAAGAGTCAGAAATAACTCAGTTCAAGAAATTTATATTTTATAACCTTGCCCCTTGTTTAAACTCTTTCATAGTCTAGAAGAAATTACGAAACTAGATTCTTCATTTACTAAGCTTGACACAAAAAACTGACCCACAAGGCAAGCCTTTTTACTACCAATTGTTTTCTTAGCCACGAAAATGTTGCCTGTTTAAATGATTGGCATCAAGTTAATACAAGGCTGTATATTCGTTAAATATTTCTATAAAGCCCTTGCACCCATGCTCAATCCGATTATGGAGAAAAAACTTGATAATTCTCCACATCATAAATGAAGGCAAGCTTTTGTTTATCCTTTTGCTGAATAGAATTCAAACTGTTTGGTATATAAAGATGACAATGTGTTATGAAATAATTAAACTTTCCCATAACAAATCACATGCTTTGTGTACCACACACAATAGTAATGCAAAATAAAATGCCACCATGAGGCAACTTTCTTGCTCACTTGGGAATAGAGAGGTTTTGTCCACACATAGTTATTGTCTTCAATGTACACTATATGCTGAACGTGTACTAATATTTTTTCAGTTTTTTTAAGTTGTTATACCTTTTCAATTGTTCTGTTCTTTTACTAGTTAAATTACCATAATCATTAATCTTAAAAGTGATAATAGTAGGATCGGATCAGTACAAGTATGTCCATTGTACCTCTGGGAACCGTTGTTTTTAACCTTGGAGGAAAACGTGATTTGCTGGACAAGGCGTCTAGCTATCTCAGTTAAGAGCCTTAAACATAACCACTAAGTCACATCCAAGAGAAGTTTGATGTGCATACAGAACAAGATATACTAATGGTTCCTGCATGAACTCTCACTAAAGATTCTGATTTCCATTATGTATCACATTTATGATTATGCATATATGACGGATATATAGTGTGTTTGCAACTGAGTGGCATGGGTACTGGTACAGGTCCAGGTGCTGGTATGGGACATGGCAAATTTGTAAAAGGTAGGGTACGGGGACATGATTTAAACTACTGGGATATAATGATAGTTGCCAGCTATATACGTAAACAACCCTTTTAAATCGTAGCTCTTAAAGGCTGAAATGAACTCAACTCTTATCCAACAAGTTACAAAATAGATGTGAAGAGTAGGGTATATATCTAAGAATCGTATGATGAGTGTTTTAAATTAAACATGCATTGTATAATTGAGTATAGTTCTGATAATTATATGTATATATTTAAGGAGTGTCCAAGAAGTGTCGGGTATGGGTATGGGTAAGGTTCCATATTAGAAGTACCCAGGAAACATAGGTTTGCACCTTTATGAAAAATTTCAGGTAAAAGTAGAAGTAAGCACTTTACCTCCATGGCAGCAGCATTACACAATAACAAAGTCACCAGAAGCTGGTGTTGCTTTTGAACGACAGGAAGGATGTGAGCTGTAAAAGAGAGAAAAAAAATATAGATATGAGAGATTCAAATTATCAGCAAAAAAAAAAAAAATCCAGGAGCAGTGCACTCATCGGGTTAAGACTGATGGGGTTGAGATTGTAGTGGCATCAGTTAGAAAATGTTATGACGGAAAACTCAGAAATGAAACAGAATATTTAAAAGGAAGAGAAAGAGTCCAAAAAGGTGACGTAAGAACATAGAGAATGGAGAAAGTCATCGCTTTACATTCTAAACTTTTAATTTAAAAACAGGCAGAACCAAGGTGTGATAAGGAGATGGTCTATAAAAATGCTAATACAATTATCCATACAAAACCAAGTATATGAACTATGAAATTAGCCTTTCCATGCTAAAATGTTAAGTCTACATTAGCCATAAGTGAGTTGAAAAGAAAATAAATTGTGCAGGATAGTTATCAATATTCAACTGAGTATTTAAGCCCTTATTACCCCTCAAAATATTAATAATAATCACATTGCAATTTTTCAGGGTTTTAAAGGAAGGTTCACAACATTAGCCTTCTGAATACAGGGACCCTTTAGCATGCTCCAGAACTCAATAACACATAACTCTCATAAGCAAGCCTTTTCTCACCATGCTTCCATTATAATATGCTTAATTGCACTTTAACACCCCAAGTTCCACCCTTTTTTAAATTTGTACCTTAAAGTTCCAATTTGCTCAATCAATACCCAATGCTTTTAAGTTGATTAGACCGATAAGTTAACATAGAGTGCCAAACTACTGAAATACCCTTGGACTAAACCAGTCTTTTCTCCCCCCTTAAGCCCCTAATCGCCCCCTTAAGCGATTCCTCGCCAAATTTATTCTCAGTTTTCCCTTTTCTCTGTTTTCCTTGACATAGGGTTCCAAATGGAAATCACCCATGGCCAGAGGGTGAAGTAGAAAGCTAAATCTCCATCAGCCGGCGCAAAACCGAAGATTTTGATTTAAATGAAATTGTTGAAGTAGCTACTTATCACTGTTCGAAAAAGATCTGAACTTTTCGGGAATTTTTAACCTCCGTCGATCCCTGCCGCAACATGCGGATCCTTACTTGCAGTCAAGGACTCCCAAACACGTAACTTTCATTAATCACTGAGTCAATTGGGATTGTTCTGTTTAACAATCCCAAATCAGTTGATCACCACTAAATACCATCGTCCAACCCAAATGTCTGCCTGATTCCTACGAAAACCCCTCCAAGTAACAAACAATTACGAGAGAGAGAGAGAGAGAAAAAAAATCTAAACTCTGGTGCAAATTCTAATCTGGCATTAAGGATCTTTATATGCACTCCAGGACTGAAAAGCCTACATACAATATTTTCAATAACAATATAGGCACGAGAACTTATTGCGCGTTGGTCAGCCCGAAACAATCGACCCCAAATGAATTAACTACTACTAATTTTAACAAAAAAGCACAAGCAGTCAGGCGAAAAAACCCCACTGAATCCTCCTCATCAAAACCCTAAATTGAGCAGAAACCTACCAGCCTGCTTCTTCTCAGTTGGGGTTCCGCTCCGCTGGAGGATCTCGAGCTCGACGAGGCCCAGCGACATCAATCCCAGGGTCAATCCCGACATTATCCCCGCAAATAGAACGAGGAAGCAGGAGATCCCAGCGTGAACGTACCACCAAAGGGATCCCAAGGCGATGTCCTCGCCATTGACGACGAAGA